TAAGAGTTAAGAGTGTCATGAGGCAAATGCTACCCGAGGTCGATCAATGACACGAATGGACAGCTACGCAACAGTCATCGTAGAGGCTGCGTTTTTGCTTTCGCAAAAGCGCCAACGGTGATTTTAGAAATCTCGGTTCTAAACGGCTTCTTTCATTGAACAACCGTGAAGCATCGTTTGCAAGAACAAGCCACCTAATTCTTCACCACATTCGGTTTCTTTAGTCGTCGCCCGATGCAACGTGTTTATTGACATGTGCGCACAGACGCGATGCGATGTCAACTGCAGGTGGCACACCTCATGCGGTCCCCGCCTTTTCGAGCATCCGGGGCTACGAACTCTAACATGAGATCTTCATCATTCAGTGTCACTCAGTGCTTACGTGACACGCACAGTGACACAGTCACAGTCACGTGTCTCATGAGGTAGAAGGGAAATATTTGCAGCCATTTACGTCAAACTGAAATCTTTCGTTTGCTGCTCCAAGCGGTACAGTCCATGTGATAGTTCCTAGCATGTTTATGGTGGTGAATGCAAACTCCGTTTTGCTGGTGCGATGCTAAATGAAACTTTTAAGTTCAAGTTCAGGCGTTCACCGTGAGGTGTGAAGTTCACTCCCCACAGTACTCACATGGACAATATCATTTGCGCACTGAAGGCTAGCAAAATACCTTGCCGGATATCTTGAATTGCGCATTTCCTCTATGACCAGAACCTCGTCTTTGTCACAAGAAGTTGTTCCGGCACAAATAAGAAGCGAATAAATCTGTTTAGGCAAACGTTTCCGAACACACCCATCGGACATTTGATTAATTTGTAAGGTAAATTTACTTGGCTAGGTTTTGATTTCAACCACTGATCAGAAGTCCTTGTCTTTTGAAGACTTCCTGATTAAAATATTTACACTGAACTGGTATGAATTACAGAAAAATTTCATGTTATATCCTACTGTACTAAAGACCAAATGCTTCCTTTACCTCGGATGCGGGTGAGCACTTTTGTCACACTATCCGCTCTTCTGCAGATTCCTCCCCCCCAATAAATG